GTGAAAATTTCATGTCATTAGCACCTCTAGTAATATATTTACTGAGAAAAATGGTGACGTGTTCAATACTTATTTTACCCGCTGTAGTATATACTGTAGATTTGGCATTTTTAAGATCATCTTCCAAACCATTCCACAATCCTGTACCCTGAATTAAAGTACATTTTTTGCTCAAACAATATGAAAATATGGCTTCACAAACATTTCTATCCCCTTAAAATAATAACTGTATCTCTTAACAAAGTTTGCCTGAATGTTGGAAGGTAATACGTTTCTTTGAGTCTTGTACATAAATGATAAAATATTATAGTCAACCAAATTATAGAATTTTAAAATTTTCAGTTTGCAAAATAATGTATTAGATGGATGGATGTAATTTTTTTCTCGGGTTAATTCTTTCGGCTCTTTTCTGTAAAACAAAGATTGGATTTGTAATTGCTCTGCAAGCTTTACCCCAGACTTCAGACTTTTTTTTAAAAGTAAAAACCAAGAGTGAAATCTTAAAAACAGTCCCTAAAGGAAGAGGCAGCCAGTGAAGAACACTAAAAGGTAAAGAGCTCACGTCTCGTCTCTGTTAATAAACAAGCTGCTGAATTTTGAACCAGCTGAAGATGGAGGAGAGACTGGTCAGTCCACTATAAAGACAGCTGCAGTCATCCAGTTTAGAGAGGAAGAAAGCATGAATGACCCTCTCAGGGGCTTGATCTGGTTAATAAGCCTTAAATGATAAAAACTAGACTGGACTGCTGCACCGACCTGTCTGTCAAACCTGACTCAGACTCAGACAGGTCCTGTGTGGTTTTATTTGAGCTGAAGCTGTTTTTTGTTTCTGCTGCAGCTGGCTGAAGGTCACCGAACATCTGACGGACAGGAACATGCCCGTCCTGCAGCCCGGCGCCAAGGTCAGGAGTTCATATTCAGTGTGGTGGCAGAGTGTGGATCAGAACACGTCTGTGTGAGCTGTCGCACCGACGGCTTAAATCTCTGAGTTTACTGAAACTGAGTTGATCAAACCTTTCAGAACTGATACTGAAACTTTCACCAAGAGACAACGTGTTGCTCGTCTCATCGCTACGAATGAGCAGCGCTAACAAACACTGAGCTCTACCTGGTATTTCCTGCATAGTAACAGCATTTTAACACATCCTCTTATAAACACTGAAAAGTACTGTGTGTACTAAAGGTGAAAGAAATAATACAGAAATACCAGTGGTGGGCACAGTTCCACTAAAGCACTAATAGGGGAACTAATTTCCTGATTAGTGCTTTAGGGCTTTTGCTGTTTTTTAATTCATTAGTGGATTAGCACTTGCTACATTTATGGGCTAAATTTAGAAGCACTAACTGAGGTCTTTAAATGCGATTAATCAATGTTATTGTTACCAGCTGAGGGTGAAAGCTGTCACACATTGTGTTCATATGTGTGTCACTTATCTACAAGGTCACATGTGTCAAAATCAAGGCCCGCGGGCCAAATGCGCCCTGCAGGTGACTCCCATTTGGCCCGCCAAGAGCACTAAGTGTCAACATTCTGCACACAGTAAATATTTTTTCATGTTGACTGAAGAGTGTTTCATGTGTCAACTGGATCATATTAGTGCTTTAGAATTAGGGGACCTAAATAGTTGAGTTAGTGCTTTAGGGTTAGTGCAACTACAGTAATACTTAGATAATTGCTGCCCACCACCGAGAAATACTATTAAAAGTAAGAGAGTTTTACTCCCTGTTGGGTTGTGGTTAGTAGCCGCTTGTCTTAACCAAAGAGCTAGCTTCAATAAAAAAGTTAGCTTCAATAAAAAAGTTAGCTTCAATAAAAAAGTTAGCTTCACTAAAAAAGTTAGCTTCACTAAAAAAGTTAGCTTCACAAAGTCATAATTGGCTAACAAAAATATAGCTTTACTAATGCTAAACAGCTAAATGTGTAAAAAAAAAGTTGTGTAAACTAATGCTAAACAAGTAAGAATTAGCAGAAGCTAACATTAACAGCTAGCCCCTAACCGATGGGACAACTATCAGTCTGTATCCAAAACGGTGGGCGGGGTCCTTAAAGTCTGCTAACGGTTTTCAAAGTTAGTCAAAAAGCTAATCCACTAAACAAAATATTAATTCCTAAGTGGCGGATCCACGCCACGACAGGGAATTTCCACTGCAGTGGTGGTCCATTTTAAATTTACGATATGTAAGTGAGAAATTCTCACTTCAAAGCTTATAACCGCAGCAAAAATAGCCAGTGAAATGGACTTATCAGTATACTGACCAAGTTTGAAGCCAATAGGTCAAAATCCCTAGGAGGAGTTTGCAAAAGTTCGATGTGAGCAAAATTAAAAATCGGCCAAAATTTGACATTTGACCCAAAATGGCCGACTTCCTGTTGGTTTTAGGGCATACCTCCAAGAGACTTTTTAAAATATTTTGGGGAGTTCTACCTATGTGCCGAATTTCAGCTCTCTAGGACTTGCCAGTTCCTTTATCTCACTTTAGGTGGCGCTGTGGAGCCGTTTGGCCACGCCCACTTTTGATTCCAATGAAATCTTGCTATTTCACGCAGGGGACAACTTTTGGCCAAGTTTGGTGAGTTTTTGAAAATGTTAAGGCCTCCAAAAAGCTGCCAAAAGTGGCGGAATAAAAAGAATAATAAGATAAGAAGAAGAAGAAGAAGAAATCTTGCAATTACAAACTCTTCAAATGGAGATTTTACATAATGAATTTTGCTACTTTCAAACTGTGCTTCCACGTAGAGGAGTGATGCTGTAAAGAAATATTCAACTTGCATTATGGGAGATGTAGTTTATGGCCAGCGCTGATTTTAAAGCAGATTATTTAAAGACATTAATACATCTTTGAAGCTCTTGCGGGCCACATTAAATGCTGTGGCAGGCCACTTTAGGCCCTCGGGCCTTGAGTTTGACACATGGGATTTACACAAAAACATCAGAAATAACACACAGATGGTTTTACCTGGGCTCACTCATGTAAAATGCTCCCGTGTCGAGTAGTTTTAATCAAGTCTTTTCTTCCTCCAGCTGAAAGATAAAGAGCGACAGGTGATCAAAGATAAATTCAAGGTGAGTCATTAAAATAAAACAACGAAACGTTTGGAGCGGCAGGTTTCAGCAGCAGGTTTCAGCAGCAGGCGCGTCTCTTTCAGGGGTTTAACGACGGTTTGGAGGAGCTGTGTAAGACCCAGAAGGGCTGGGCCATCCCCAACAAAGAACAGCGGGACTTCATCCGCCAGGCGCAGAAGAAAGTGGTTTCTGATGCTTACAGGAACTTCCTGCAGAGGTGAGACCCCCCCCCCCCCCGATCATTAAGACCAGGTTCAGGTTTCAGTTTTAGTAAAACTGATCGGTTTTCTTCAGGTGTGCGAACATTTCCTTCACCAAGAACCCCGAGAAGTATCTCAAATATCAACCGGAGGAAGTGGAGGAGATGATTGAGAAGCTGTTTGATACGTCCGCCTGATGAAACCTTCGTCCTCCTCTTCCTCATTTATGTAAATGTGTCGGACAAATAAACACTAAATTTCCCTCCGGGTTCATGATTTTCATTAATGACTGAGAGAAGTGGACAGATGTCTTCTGAGGGACGAGGCTGCCAACAGGAAGTGAGTTTTTACTCAAATGTTCCTGTTTGAAGATAAAAACACAAAAGCACCTGAACCATCAGGACTTTTCTGGAGGAAAGGGAACCGAGTACTGTTTTTACTAATTTATTGACCTGATTCTCAGTGGAACTGCTCATTTTTTGTTTTAATTCAAGAAAAAAAAAAGGCATTTCAAAGTAATAAATTGTACAACGTTGAAACTAAACGTGTCCAAATCTGCTTGTTTTTATTCCTAATTTGTAATTCAGGACTTGGAGAAGGCTCGTCCGATATGGGTGGAGGTGGTCAACAAAGTAATGTACACGGTTCTGCTAAACCGCTAATACTGGAACTAGCTTCTCATTTAGCAGGTTAGCTTTTTGGCTAAATTAAGTTCCACTAATTTTAAGTCCACTAAAAAAAATCACAAGTGTAAAACCGTCTTTCTTTAAGCTGTTTATTCCGAATTAAATAAAAGTGATTCTTTCTTACAAACAGTTCAGGATCCGTAAGACACCGAATGTAACATGCTACATGCTACACCGTATGTAGCATGTAGCATCTTTAGCAGCTAAACTTCAAACTAAGGGTGTCAAGAAGAAATAAAATAACATTTAACAGTATGTAAAGAATATAAATGATTGCTACATATGTTAAAGTATTGATTTGTTGTTTGAAATATAAACTTGATCCAGGAAATGCTTTTATTCTGAAAGGGGTAAACTGGAAGTAAAAGTTAGAGCTATAACTCCGCCCACCTTCATATTGAACCAATAGGAACCTAAGAAATAGGTTAAGGACAAAGACACGTCTTAGCGGTTAGCATTATTTTACACTGATTGTTTTATCCGTTTATCGGATTAGCGTTAGCAGAACTTGGATTAGCATTAGCAGAACTTGGATTAGCGTTAGCAGAACTCAGATTTGAGTTTAGTGGTTAATGAAACAAACTTTTTGATTAGCTGCGCTCACCACTGCAAATGAGCCACGATACAAAAAGTCACTGCAACTGAAATTTAAAGTATTTTTACCATAATGGACCATTTCTGAGTACTAGTGAAGTCTTACTTTTCTGGTTCACAAGTCAAACATTATTTTAGCTATTTTACAAATGAAGTTTTAACCAATTTTTGTTGGCTAATGTGGACCAGCTGTGGCGGCCATGTTGAACCAAGTCGACTCCAAAAGTTCATCAGAAGTTAATCCCTAATAGATGTAAAGACGGTGAATATTTCCTGAAAGTTTTGTTGAATAATAAAATGAAATGTTAATCGTAGTGATCCAGTTTCCCTTTATTCTTCATTTATTATTCTGTATGTTTTTAACTTGCTTCACAATTTTTGTGCTACTTCAACAAATCATCAAGAGGTTCAGCTCCGTCGGGACAGTCCAGCTGTGACTCACGTTTCCTTCAGCTGAAAAGGAACGGTGCTGTCATCAACAAACTTAAAATCGTTCAAAAATAAAATTTTTACTCTTTTTAACCTCTTTGTGTTAATTTCAGTTAATTACAGCTTTTTTCTTCTATTTTAGCTATTTTTCAGCTCCTTTTGGCTGTTCTTCTGCAAATTAAGACTCATTAACATCACTTTCAGCTGCTTCCTGCTACATTTAGCAGTTTTCTTTTTTTAGATTACGTTCAGTTATTTTCAGCTAATTTATAGCTTTTTGAGCTAAATTCACATTTTTTGTAGCCTCAGCTTTTTACTGCTCGTTGTTCTGAGCTTTAACTCTGCATCCGTGTGACTCAGGGATGTCACTTCACAACAGGTCACGGTGCGGGTCAGCAATGATGTTTAGTAATTTTAAGGTCACGAGGTCAAAGGTCACCCCTAAGTTTAGATACAGTGGGTAAAATAAGTGTTGAACATGTCACCATTTTTCTCAGTAAATATATTACTAGAGGTGCTAATGACATGAAATTTTCACCAGATGTTGGTAACAACCCAAGTGATCCATACATACAAAGAAATCAAACCATAAATGTCCAGAAATGAAGTTATTTGTAATAATGTGGAATGGCACAGGGAAAAAGTATTGAACACATGAAGAAAGGGAGGTGTAAAAAGGCATGGAAAGCCAAGACACCAGCTGAACTCTCTCAGTAATTAGAAAGCAAGCCTGCCCCTTGTCAGTGCAAGTTAATATCAGCTGGTTCAGTCCCAAATGATGGTCAGGTATCACACAAGAACCATCTGATGATGGGTAAAAGTAAAGAGCTCTCTCAAGACCTTCACAACCTTATTGTTGCAAAGCATAATGATGGCATCGGTTACAGAAGAATGTCTAAACTTCTGAAGGTTCCAGTGAGCACTGTTGGGACCATAATTCAGAAGTGGAAAGAACATTATTTCACCATAAACCGACCACGACCAGGTGCTCCTCACAAGATTTCTGACAGAGGAGTGAAAAGAATTATCAGAAGAGTTGTCCAAGAGCCAAGGACCACTTGTGGAGAGCTTCAGAAAGACCTGGAATTAGCAGGTACGATTGTTTCAAAGAAAACAATAAGTAATGCACTGAACCACCATGGCCTGTATGCACGCTCACCACGCAAGACTCCACTGCTGAAGAAACAGCATGTTGAAGCTCCTTTAAAGTTTGCTGCACAACATTTAAACAAGCCTGTGTAATACTGGGAGAATATAGTCTGGTCAGATGAGACCAACATTGAACTGCTTGGATGTCAGAATACACATCATGTTTGGAGGTCAAATGGCACTGCACATCAGCCCAAAAACACCATACCAACAGTGAAGTTTGGAGGTGGGAACATCATGGTGTGGGGCTGTTTTTCAGCATATGGTACTGGCAAACTTCAAATAATTGAAGGAAGGACGAGTGGAAAAATGTACAGAGACATTCTTGATAAAAATCTGCTTCCATCTACCAGGATGATGAAGATGAAACGTGGCTGGACATTTCAGCAAGACAATGAGCCCAAACACAAAGCCAAGGAAACTCTCAGTTGGTTTCAGAGAAAGAAACTAAAGCTGCTGGAATGGCCCAGCCAATCACCTGACCTGAATCCAACAGAAAATCTATGGAAAGAACTAAAGATCAGAGTTCATAGAAGAGGTCCACGAAACCTTCAAGATTTGAAGACTGTTTGTGTGGAAGAATGGGCCAAAACCACACCTGAGCAATGCATGCCACTAGTTTCTCCATACAGGAGGCGTCTTGAAGCTGTCATTGACAACAAAGGCTTTTGTACAAAGTATTAGATAAATTTCAATAAGTGTGTTCAATACTTTTTCCCTGTGCCATTCCACATTATTACAAATAACTTCATTTCTGGACATTTATGGTTTGATTTCTTTGTATGTATGGATCACTTGGGTTGTTACCCACATCTGGTGAAAATTTCATGTCATTAGCACCTCTAGTAATATATTTACTGAGAAAAATGGTGACGTGTTCAATACTTATTTTACCCGCTGTATGTTTCTGCTTCGTTTAGTTTTCTGATGCATTTTTGCTATTTTAAAGATTTCAGTAGTTTTCCTGCTTTTAGCAAAACTCGTCTGTTTAAATTTGACCCACTTTACAGCGTTGCTGATAAAACTTTTCAGCTGGACTTCTATGGAGAGCCACTTATTTCAAAATAAAATCAATCAATAAATAATGTAGTTAATAAATTATTAATACATATTCCATCAAATACCTAAATGTCCCCATGAAATAAAACAAAATTAACATATTTTAATACGTTTTTCAGCACGTCTTTATTTTATTTATTTATTTGTTTTTTATTTGTTTGTTTATTTTATTTTGAAAAAAAAGGCTCTCCACAGATTTCAGCTTCTTCAGCAGCCCTCATCGTACATCTCTGTTTTAAGCACTCACGCTGAGTTTTTGCCTGAAATGCAGATTCTCTCGTTAATTCTTCTTTTTTAATCCAGATTATGCCCCCTGCTCCTGTGATGCAGCTGTGGACCAGCAGGTGGCAGCAGCTGCTCAATCTGAGCTGCAGCTGCAGGTCCAGCAGAGTTCCAGAAGCTGCTTCAGGTTTAAAATCATCTCAGCTGCAGCTTCTGTGATGCATCAGGTCCTCCGGTACTTCTGTGTGTCGGAACTGCAGGTCATTAAAGATAAGGGCCTCCTGAGAGAACCGGTCCCAGACTCAGAACCAGACCAGTCATCAGGTTGTAATCTCTCTCTTTCTCTCTTTTTTTTTCTGTGAAACTTCAGGCTCCTCTTCTGGTCTGAATCTCAGCAGGAGGATCAGATCAAAACCAAGCGGAGTCACGTCTCTGAAGACCACCGGCAGGAGGCCTGAGAGGAGGAAATGACATCAGCGCTGCGTGCCGATTGGCCCAGGTGGCGCGGGGTGAGCCTGTTGACCAGCAGTCACACATGGGAATGTTTGAGCTTCAATCTGAACCATTACCGTGTGTGTGTGTGTGTGTGTGTGTGTGTGTGTGTGTGTGTGTGTGATGATGATGATGATGATGATGAGTGTGAGCAGGTAAACAGGTTGCTCCTCGCTTTGAGTCTGCTGGGATTCAAACCATCAACCTGTGTGTGTGTGTGTGTGTGTGTGTGTGTGTGTGTGTGTGTGTGTGTGTGTGTGTGTGTGTGTGTGTGT